CGTAGATCAGCGGCGCGGATGCTTTCAAATCTGCTCCTGAAATCCACCGAGTGTCGTTGCGATCGCATGCTTTGAATGTGACTTTGTACTGTCGTGGCTTGCTGCCATACTTGCGATCGGTGATGACGCGGTCAACTTCCTGATGGCCATCCATGGAAGGAGGGTCCTCCGATCGTCGGCTCGGAAAGTCGTCGCTCTTGGCTGGTGTGTATGTTGCCAGCTTCGAGGCATGGAAGACCGGATGGACCGTCAGATGCTCTGGAATGTTGATCACAAATGAAGGGCCATCAGGCTCATTGCCCGCGGCTGCTGTCACAGACCAAGGTCCAAACCACTTGGGAAGCAGTTTGCATGAAACGTCTTGTTCCAGTGCAAACTCTTCCGCGGAGACCCAAACCAGATCACCGGCGCGGATGGGAAATGGTACGCGACGCCTGTTGGCTTGCTGCTGCCTGCGGACTTGAGCCTTTTGCATATTTGCGCGGGCTTGAGTCAACAATTCCCTGTACTTCCGGATGGAAGCTGGAGAGTAGGCAGCGTCAATGTCGGCTGGTCGAGGGAGGAGAAGGTCGGCGAAAATCCGGCCTTTTCGTCCACCGTGGTGCAACTCGAATGGAGTTGCGCCGATCGCCAGATACACCGAAGTGTTGTAGGCGAACTCGATGTCGAGGAGGCGGTCAACCCAATCTTTCTGGTCCGGACGGATGAGCGTACGAAGCATCATTTGAGCGGTTTGATGTGCCCGCTCCGTCTGCCCATCTGTCCGAGGATGCCGAGCCGAACTTGGTTTTATTGTTGTGYCGGACTCCTGCATGAGAGCAGTCCAAAACGTCGACATGAAACGAGTGTCGCGGTCGCTGACAATGTCTTCTGGTACACCGTGGCCGCAAATCCAACCAGTGTGCAGGAGGCGTGCCAGCTCGGGAGCCGTGGAGTAGTACTTGCAAGGGAGAAAACSCGCGTACTTACTCAATCGGTCCACAACYGTGAGGATGCCGTCGTGCCCGAGCCGGTCRYGAGGAAACGGACCGGTGACGTCCATGGCAATGGAGAGACCGGGTTCCCGTGGGATAGGCATCGGGTGTAACTCGCCGTAGGGATTGCAGTTGTGGGGCTTGCTACGTCGACAAACTTCGCAAGAGTCGCAATACCGAGTGACATCGGTAATGAGGTCGGGCCATCGGAATCGTTGTCGAAGCCGTGCAATAGTGCGGTTGACTCCGAAATGGCTGGCGAGTCGTGAATCATGGTACTCGCCGAGGAGGCGAGTCCGAAGACGACGGTCGCGTGGGACGCACAATAAGTCCTTGCCTCTCGAGTGGAGGAGCAAGTATCCGTCGGCGATGCGATAGTGGCTGGCCGGCGGGTGATCCAAAGATAGCTGTGCGTACAGCGTGGCGAAGTCCGGATCAGACTCATATCCCCGGATGAAGTGTCGTTGAAGCTCCTCGTCGAATGCGAAGGCATGATGTGTCATAGCGCAAAGATCAGGTCTTCGCGAGAGTGCATCTGCTGCGCGATTTGAGAGGCCGGGAAGATGTTTCGGTGTGAAGTCAAACTGGTCGATGAAGTACATCCATCGTCCGATCGTGCTGCTCACCGTATCCTGCGTCTTGTAGTAGGTCAATGGATTGTTGTCTGTAACCCATGTGAACCTACGACGCCCAAGGAGGAAGTGCCGCCATCGCTTGAGAGCCATGACGAACGCGAGTAGCTCCTTCGTCCTTGCATCATCAAGCGAGTTGATGGGAGGCACTTTGTGGCTGAAATACTCCACGGGGTGCCAGTCGTAGCCGTCGTGTTGTTCCAAGACTGCCCCAATGCCATAGCCGGAAGCGTCCGTAGTCACTCGCGTCGGCAGGGTGGGGTCATAGATGCTAAGGACGGGTGCCATTAGCATAGCCGTCTTAAGTGCTTGGAATGACCGGCGTGCGTCGTCATCGAACACGAATGGCACCTTTGGCGACTGTAACCTCGTCATAGGTGCAGCAATCCTTAAGTATCCGGTGATGAATCGCTGATAGTAGCCCGCCAATCCCATGAATGAACGAACGTCCGTGGTGTTGGTGGGCTCGGGCCATACTCGTAGGGCCTCGATCTTGTCCGCAAGCGGACGGATGCCTTTCGGTGTCACATAGTGTCCCAAGTACTCTAGCTCCTGTCGCGCGAATTCGCACTTGTCGAGGTTGGCTTTGTATTTGGCTTGTCGTAGCCGCTCCAAAACAATGTGCAGGTGTTCCACATGCTCCTCCAAACTCCAGCTGTACACTAGGATGTCGTCGAGGTAGATAAGTACGTATCGATCCAGCATGTGTCGGAACTTTGTTGTCATAGCCGCTTGGAAAGTGGCCGGGGGCATTCGTAAGGCCAAATGGCATGACCAGCCATTCGAAATGCCCATATCGCGTCTTAAACGCGGTCTTGTAGCGATCCTCCTTGCGAATCTCGAGTTGGTG